GTGATAGACCTTAAATATTTTTTCATATTTATTTATAAAGTTCAAAGCTTAAAAAATAGTGTAGATCGACATATCTATGAAAACTTGAAAATCTTGAAAATTGATGGTCTAAAAATGCGTTACAGAATACACTATTTCCAACACTTGAAATCTATTTCTTTCTCATGTTCATGCATCTTGATGTCAAGATGATCAATTTGAAGATATTTGAGTATCAAAACAACCTCTTTTAGTGAACTTTTTGAGGTAAGCTCAAATTTGATTGTTTAGAGCCTAAGCTCTATATAAACTTTTCCCAAAAAAAAAAAGGTTCAGATCCTGGATATGTGTACACATATTTTTAAAGCAAACTAGAGGGTCTAGATAATTTGTTACAATATATACTATTTTTAGAGTTTGAAATCCTATTTTTTTTACAATCATAATGTTTAAGGCAAGATGATCGATGTAAAAACATTTCAATACTTCATTTACAATTTGCGATGAGTTATGAGGTGAGGATTAACTTACGGCAGCTATATCAAAACATTTTCCTTTAGATAATAATTGCTTGGTGGCCTGTGCTTTGCATCCATAGAAATAATGATTACAGCATAAAAGATATGAAAAAGAATGGATGAACAAAGTTGTGTAAACTTTACCATAAAATGATGAAATAGAGTAAACATAATTTTTTGGTGATGGAAAAGAAATGGACGATGCTATTCTCCCTTGGGTAAAAGCCAAGCTAGGAGTACTATTTTAAGGGATTGCATACACTGTGGTGAAATGATTTTTGGCTCCGGCTGGAGCATACTATCTATTTGCTCCATTTGTTAAACGTCGAGTTAAGAGTATTATTTAGATCTCAAATTTTGAGGATATAATTTTTTGAAACTAGCGAGCTGCGTCAAAAAAAAAGAAAAGAAAAGGGGTTTCATATCTCATATGTGCCTGAAAAAAACGCCCAAACAATAAATAAGGATTGTCCAATTTTTGGAAGGCAAGATTGTTGAAGAACTCAAATCCTTTTTTTTTTTAATGAATATAATCATCTAGTGCTTCTTAAATGGATATTAAAATATCATACTATCAAGAAAAATAAAATAAAATAAAATAAAAAATCTCCCAAGTAGCTCTTTTGCTCGAGGGAGTGATTATACGGTATGTTCTTGCGGGAGTGTACTATATGCGCTATAAAGTGAAATCATTATTTTCTTCTTCCCCCCAAGCCGTGAGATGTAAAATCAAAGAGCTGGGAGGTGTTATTTATTTATGCAAAGTCTCATGAAAATTAATTCCTACTTTGTGTGCATGCAATGATTTAATTAATTAATTTTTTTATATGGGAAAATAAATTACACATTTTGCACAAGTTGCAGACTTGTGGTCTAGACTCTGGACCGTCGGCTCGGACTCAGGTCCCACATAGGTTGTTTCATTGTATGGAATTCATGTCGATCATTTTAGGCCGACCCCAAATAGTTGATAACGATAATTATGTATGGCTCTTCATAGAGCAGAGTGACAGAACGCGATTCCAAATAGTTGGGATAAAACGATGATGATGATTATGATACGAATGAAATGTGGAAGGTCCATACCCAAGACAACGGGATTTTTTTCATGGAAAATGTTTTTATGATAATATTTCGTTAATAGTAAATATTTTTTAAATAGTTAAACTCCTAATAAATTACCTATAACAAGGGCTCACTAGATATTATCCCGATAAAAACCCTAGCTGATAACGATAATTATCACCAAGGCACAAGTTGAGTCATAAATTAAAAATTAAAGTGATATACTCAATTAGAAGTGATCATTTAAAAGCTACTAAGTTTAATACAAAGTTTAGAAAGAATCTAATTAATAATTACTCTTTGTTTCTTAGTGGAGACCTTTTCATCCTAGTGTTGATCATTTTCAACAGATTCCATGCTCCCAAGGGAGCGTAATATCCACTTACTCCCTCATGCAATACTCAATCAACATTTTCAATCCATATGATATATTCAATGAAATTTTCTCTAAATCGCATTATCTATGGACTTGAAAAAAATAAAGCCTTAAGATTGAATAGAAACCGTCCAATTTTTGAAGGGTGAGATATAAGTGTTCGAAAATTCAAAATCAAAATACAATTTTTTTGTTTGAAATATAATCATCCAGTGATTTTTAGGTCATCCATTGATTTTTAGGTCATTCCCAAAATTTCGAATCAAATAAATCTTCCAATGTCAGTCTCCTTAAGGGAGTAGTGTACATAATGCTTCTGCAGGAGCATAGTATACACACTCTTGATTATTAAAGTGGTGTGTTTCTTTCATATCGAATGATAGCTTAAGCTTTAGAAAACTCTATAATTTTAATGGAATGATCAAAACACAAGTGCCATCACTGTCCAGCTATCAAGTTGAACAATAAAAAAATGGAAAGTATAGACCATTTTTTTTTAATACAAGAAGGTCACAATCACTTTTGTCCATCAGATTTCAAATCAGATGGTCGTGACTGTATCATTGACTGGACTCCAAGTTCAAAAAATAATTTTTCGAACTTTTTGACAAATCCAAAGCCATCAAATTTGACATCTAATGGTTAGTATCCATTGTGACCTCCTTGTACCAAAAAAATATATCTTATAATATACAATCCTATAAAAAAAATCTGTCTTTTTTTTTTTCTTTTGTGAAATAAAAAAAATGTACTTTTTGTACGATATATAGAAGTATCCATTCGTGTAATGTATTCTAGTAGGAGCATATTATAGATCTACTCCCTTGGGCAAAAGAGCCAATTAACTTCTAGACACTTAGTTACGATAGTGGTCTATGGACACTAAAGCCATTTCTTCAGAAAAAGCTTGTACATAAGGTTGCAACATTATATTGTTGATGTAAGGTACACATTAAAAATCCTAGAATGGAGAGTGTATCGGCATAGGAGAACCCTCCCATTGATCGTCTCGACCTTGAGATGAATGGACATCTTGTAACAAGTTATCTGGACCGTCTATCTTCAAGATTTTCAAGTGTTTCTTGATTTGCTCGATCTATATCGTTTTTGAAATTTTAAGTTTCATAACTTAGGACAAAAAGAGATTTTGAAGCCATCATAAGGTTTTTAACGCTGAAACAGCATCTTTAGGCATATATATATATATACAGTGTGGACTTTTTTCTTTTTCTTTTGCCTTTTTATTTTTTATTTTTGTGAGGCTGTTTACTGGATTGAGTAGGTCACGTTTCTAAAATTTGGGGTCCTAAAAAACTAGCGGACAAGGTTTTGTTTGAGGGAGTAATGAATGATATGCTGCCACACAAGTATGTAATCTTCGGGCTAGAATTTTTTAGAAAAATTTGGGACATGAATACAATATTTGTGACAAATTGTGTAAATTATAGAGCAAGGCTTGTTATTGAAGGCATAACAACCATACCAATGATGTCTGAGGTATTTATAATTTTTTATGCGTGTCTATGTGATACTTTAGAAATCTAGATGCTTCTTCATATTGCTTTTTAGAATATCATTATGAAAGTTAATATCTCCTATAATATCAACTCCCCCAATCTTCAAACTGTGCATGGACGCATCAAATCTGAAATGTGGGTCTTAAAATTAGCATGTACAATACTCGTATCCATGTCGAGGTTGATACTTGTACCAATAATCCCACTATAAAGCACCTTCACTTGAATCCTACCTTCTCCCTTCTTTTAATGGTGAGTCAGTTGACTTCGATTAGACCAGACCGACCCTTTTTTTAATGCTGAACAAGTGTGTCATTTATGCAAAGCCAATTTTTAGATTAGTATTTCTATCACTCGTATCTGTGTCAAATACTAAGATACATGTCCATGTCGAAGTAACATAACATACAAGGTTTCATGCACGTATGGTATATGGGATGCGCTGGATGGTGTCATTCGATCGCGACTCATACGTGTAGGAAAATTCCATAATAAAAAAATGTACACAATGATATCGAAAGATGCATTCTCGGTACATAGAGAATCTTAGAAAGATGTATTTCTTTGGTATATGCCCTTCTTTATCGAAGAAAAGCTTAATATTCCGCCTACCCATGTCTCCATTACATTTATTCTTCTTTATCTTTTCATCTCATATTCCAATCTCATAGTATTTAAGCCCCTTAAGGCAATCCACCTTCTCAAGGTGTCTTCTCTTTTGTATTACAAAATTTCATCCTCATGGCCCATCACTCTAGAACTCAAGGCTACTCTGAATATGACTGTGACACATATGCTGATGGGTATGCCTATTCTGGGCCATATGTGACTGATGATTTTGGCTGTGAAGGCCAAATTCAGCCCCAAAGGCCCTTGCAAAAGATGGAGTGTAAGACTTATGAGCCCCACAATTCAACCCAAAGGGGCTTTCGCAAGGGGCCAGTGCTCCCTCAAGGCCAGACTGTGAAGCTCACTTCCAAGGGCAACACTGACTTTGCACTTGGTGTCAGAAATGGGCAAGTGGTCATGGTGTACTATAACCCTAATGACCTTACTCAGGTATCTCGTAATGAACAATATGGGAAAGTATGTAGTAAGATTGTTTACTTTTGTTTATTTTTTGTACAAAAAAGTCAAAAAGTCACAATTATCTCTAGCTATCAGATGTGAAATTACACAACATAAAGTATCCCACAGGTTTTCTTGGTGTTTGAGAAAATTTTTTCGGACTTTGTATGACATCCCAACAATGAAATATTACTTTCTTATAGATGTATGGTGTAGTAGAGAGAGACATATATATATATATATATATATATATATAGAGAGAGAGAGAGAGAGAGAGAGAATTTTAATTTATGAATGAGGCATATAATTACATTGTAATGTGGGTGTGGTGCTGCAGCAATGGATAAAGGATGAGTCATGGAGCAACAGTGTGAATGACAGTGTGGGTCACCCTGCCTTTTGCCTGGTGAACAAGGCCACTGGCAAGGCCCTCCGCCATGCACCCGGAGCCTTCCAACAGGTATAAATCTCTCTCTCACACACACAAGCAAGAATTTGAAAGAAGAATTTCAATAACATTAACCCTACGTACATAGGTAAGTGGTATAATAGCAACTCCAGTCCCTTGCTTAGCTCATTCTTCTATAGCAAATGACACTATGTTTACAGAAGATGATAATCTTTTATCACAATATTGTAACAAAATTGATTTCTACAGCAAAAAAAACAAAATACTAAGCCATTAATGTCTTAAGAAAACATGATAAACTCTCTCAAAATGCTATTACCAACACGATATTTTCAGGAAACAGTTTTTTTTATGCTATTATTTTTTTATCTTTCACCTAAATCTAGGTTTGCAAGGGGGTACGGCCAGGCCTAGTCGACCAGGACTCAACCCCTTGGGTCAGTCACACACATGTTCACATAGGGTTTGGGCTCTGTTGATTCCAACCCAAACTCAATCAAACCTGAGTAGGTCTAAGTCTAGATTCGAACCTGAAACCAGTTGGGTCTATCTATTGGACCCAGACCCGATCCACTAGGTCCAATTCAAGGTCCGCCTGCCCTACACATTTTGCACCCTTACCAAAATCTTGTCTCTAACCACTCTCTCAGGTCCTTCTAACTAATTACGAGCCGGGATCATTCGAGGATGCGGTCATGTGGACACAGAGTCAAGACTTTGGGGGTGGATACAAGACCATAAGAATGGCAAACAACATCCATCTCAACCTTGACTGCTTCCAAGGAGACTTGAAGCATGGTGGAATCAAAGATGGAAACCAAGCAGTGCTTTGGACTTGGAACGGCCAAGACAACCAGCTTTGGAAGATCAATCCCAGCTATTAAGTTTTTTAATGTTTTTCTCAACTTATTGTCATAGGCCTTTGAGGTTACGTCTCTAGGCCTCACCATATAAATAAATGAAATAAGTTCTTAATGTTATGAAATGGGTACACCTTTTTATGAAAGAGAGAGAGGAGGGCTTCCAAGGAGATTGGCTCGTATCAAGCTAGATTAGGCCCAAGACTAGCCCGAATTATATTGTAAAGCCCAAATCATATTGTGAAGCCCAAATCTGACCCAAAAATTGAATCACTCCAGGCTAGGCTAGGGCCTATTTTTGACGATATGTATGTGCATGTGTGTGTGAACTTTTCTGCTGATTGTTGGGGTCTAGCATGCCTGGCCTGGCCTGGCCAGGCCTGGCCAAGGCCCCAAGATCAGCCCCGTGCATTTGGCAACCTTGAGAGAGAGAGAGAGAGAGCAAGTATACACGACAGTAAATCATATTGCTGGACGGTGATAACCCCAATGAGCGATGAGTATGTGCTATTGTCCATTGGATTATTTTTCCTATTATATTTAACCCCAAATCTTATTTTTTGCAGTTCTAATTCTCTCATTATTTGATGACATGGACCGTATTAAGGGTTTGAATTTTGAAATGTACTAGGAAACACAGTCACTATCTTCAAGATGATATATTTCATTACATTTAATGATGAAAAATTATAGTACAAAAAATGCGTAAAATTACTGCAAAAAAGAAAAGAAAAATGTTCCCTCATATCAAACATTGTATATATGTATATATACCTCTTTCCCCCTCCTTGTATGGACTTCCCATGTCCCTCTCACTCTGTTTTTTTTTTTTTTTCTGTTCACATTTATTTTTCTTTAAATGGATTTCCATCTCATCTCAACAAGTATTGTGCCATTCTTCGAGTTGATGAGATGGAATTTGTCATTGATGCGTCCGTTATTCACAACATCCATTAGATCCATGTCAACAAGTCCCAGAGATTCCTGCCGAATGTTAATTAAATAAATAAGAAGAAATTTCATGAAAAGATAATTTAGGGATCGGGGTTGTTGCCATCCAATGAAACGTAGGACGGTGATGGAGAGAAAGGGACCTGCCACTGGGGACATATCGTGATCTGGTGCATCCCACACTCCCACCATCACCATCCATCATTTCGTTAGAGGGTGATCAACAATGAACCATAATCAATTGGATGATAGTATACTTCTGCCAATTCCCACTTTCAGCACGAATGGCCTGGACAGAAGTTTATGATTCTCTCTGTTTTTCTGTCAACATTAAGTTTATGATTCTCCCTCTCTTTTAAATCATCGAAGTTTATGACTCTCTCTCTCTCTCCCCCCCCATTAAATTAAGAAGTTTGGAATTAGAAGACGACCTTTGAATGAAAATTGAACCCCTTTCTCCTGCTCATGACTTCAATGTGGATCTTCTCATCTCTAGGAGCTTCTTCCATCATGAACTGGAACTCTTCATTCCAAACTGGGTCCCTGCAGTTTTTTACCAACTGAAAATGGTAGGAAACCAACAAGTTACCAATGCACATCAGACCTTTCAATCATTAACCAACGAGAAAAGAAAGGAAAACAACAAATCAAATCCGACAAACTAACAAGATATATAGGGAAAAGATGAGATTAGCCCACTAGCTCATATGAGCCCAACGTCCCAGATTGAATCTGGATCGATCTGACGATCATGGATGTCCGATAGTGTTTGAATTTTAGTTTTTTTTTCTACAAATCCAAATCACTTGAAATTTTAAGCATGTGTTTATAAAAAATAGGTGAATCTTCGAAAAATATCAAAAAATTATTTTGCATGAAATAAATTGACCAAAATACCCCCAAAAAGTTTCGAGAGATATTTTGGTTATTTTGTTTCTCGCGAATAATTTGTTTTATATTTTTATTAAATGCGTCTTGATGAGAAGAACACACACCTAAAATTTCAAGTGATTTGGATCTGTAGAAAAATAAATAAAATTCAAACACTACCGGATATTCGTGATCGTCAGATCAGCCCAGATTCAATCTGGGCCGTTGGGTTCATATGAACTAGTGGGCTAATCCCATCTTTCTATATATATATATATATATATATATATATATCTGTGGACATATAACAAATAAATACAAACGCAACCTTAGTTTTCTTCCGCTCTCCTTTGAAAAGGATCAACACATAAGGGTTTGTGTGATGCTTTCCCTCAACATCCTCGGCACTTTGGATGATGATCGAAAGCCACCCACCAGTAGTAGGCAAGTTTTCATGATCCCCCTCAACTTCACCCACTTCATCACCTAGTGATGATCCACTAGATGAGCGGTTTGTCTCTTTGAAAGGGTTAAAGGTGGCCTCAACCACAATTTGACCTCTATTCCTCTTGTTTTGGGGATCATTGAGATTCATGTTCTTAAGTAACTCAAGCTCAAACGTCTTGGTCTCATGTGGAGTCAGCAGCCTAAGAGGAATGACTTGCATTCCCAACTTATCATGTGAACCAACCTGCATGAAGAATGGCATAGCCAAACTGTGAAAAATTCGATAAAGAAAATAAGAGAAAAGAACATTGAGGGACTCTCTCTCTCTCTCTCTCTCTCTCTCTCTCTCTCTCTCGATTTATGGATTGACTGACTAGGATGTAGACAATGGCTAACCAAACAAAGTGTTAATGGAAGGCTCATCTACATTATACTAAGATATGTAAGCAATTGCCGGTAAGAGATTTGCCTTATCCCAATCATAGACATGGAGTTCAAGGACTTGAGACTCGGGATCCTTCACAACAAGCTTGAACTGCTCGTTCCACTCAGGGCTCAGATTGCTCATTTTGATGGTGGTTTTCTTTGCTGGTAGTTTCTCCTCACTTAGGCAAAGCTTCACATAGGGATCGGATTTCCCCAATAAATCCATCTTTCTGAGGTTGATCGCCCGGACAACCTTAACATGAAGTACGCCTACCGGCTTCTTCATGGCCCTGTTGTTACAGATAGTAGTGTCATTTACATGGTTTAACAGATAATTTAAGTCCCATTTGTGTAGAAATTTCACAGGAAAATAAGGGGAAAAGAATACCTAGTATTTTCAAGAATAGGTATTTCCAATACTTTTGGCCATAGGTAAAGGCAAACAATTTGTTCTTTAATCTTCTCCTGCAATATCCATTTGGACCACATAAAAGATAAGACGAAAATATAAATTTCTTGCATTATTCTCTTTGTATTTGATGAGAACTAGCAACCCATTTATTGACAATGCACATTAGAGATTAGATACAATCTAATTATATAATTTTTTAAAACAATTTGGTGGCTTTTCATAATAGCCTAAATTTCCTTGCAGATGAGTGGAGATGCATGTGACTACCATGATATGACAATATTTTCTAGACCAATGATACTCCCATAAACATTGCCGTAATTTAGCAACAGATCCAGTGAAGTTTGAGAGTACCTGAACATATCGATAGAGACCAGGGATAGCCATGATATCACCTCCAAGTAACTTCAGTCCAAAATCGACATGGGGCTATAAAAAAACAAGCAAAAAAAATAGAAGTGAGGAATCAAAGCTACTAAGTACTGATAAAATCAAGGGAAAGAATACTGGAACCCAACAGGCCTATGGTGTACTCATAATCCAATGTGGTCATTACCATCCAAAACAGTTTGAAGAATGGGATGAGGCCTAGTGGAGATGGGCACCACCATCCCAATCAACTTTCATTGGTTCATTGGATGTTTGTAACCCAATGGACTATTTTTTTTTCCATAGTCCTACAGATAATAGTATACTTTCCTTTTAATTGAAAAATGGGATTATTTTCTTAGCAGCCATTCAAAAGACTAGGAAATAAACACCATTTTCAGCTTTCTTACCTTCTCCATCAAGGACACAATCACGTTGGCAAAGCATGGGAAAGATGGCACGAGTGGCTTCATAGTTATGCGAGGAGTTAGGCAAATTTGCAGATCCAGTAGCTGAAGATACAGTTTGGTAACACTGTTTAATAGGTTTAAGTGATGTTTTCAGATTACTATCTTAGAAATAAAAGAAAGGAAGGAAATTGGTACAAGAGAAGTTGCTTAACCTGCACAGTCACCGGAAGAGATAGGGCTTTTACAATGACTGATATGTTGGGGTTTCCAGCCCACTTAAGCACAGGCTCCAAAACCAAATCCTTTTCCTGTGTGTCATAGATTTTAACCCCTGCCATGGTGGAATCACTCAAGAATTTGCTTCCTTTAAATATATCTCCAAGAATCAATACAAGTGAAAAACAGGTTTCTCTCTATAACAAAATAAGGCCATATATGTACTTCTTTATCAAGTTGGAATATTTGAATTTGAACTTTAAATGATCAACAAGCACTAACCTTTTCCCTTTCTCAGTTCTAATCTTTGAATGGTAATTGTGGGATTCATCATCATAGTCAGAGCCTTTTCCCAACAGATTTGAGGTTCAAACCAGCAAATTTGGGAGTGAGAGCAGTAGTTTCTCATTGTATTGTGAGGAAGATTTATTTCAACTAAATTCCAGATGTTCTAAGCTAACTCATCTAAATATATTAGTTTAAGTCAAGTGATAGCCACTACAAAAACTCATTCCATTTTAATATTTAAAATGGAGAATAAATCTTTTTGACAACTCGAGACCTCTCTGGGAAAAAAAATATTTTTGAAAAGTTGAGATATAAAAATCCAAGTAGTGTTTGATATATGTAAAATTGAAAAGAATGACTTGAAAAACATAGCAGAGAAGAGTTCTATTAAACTGCACTCTTATGATAGACTATTATCACTATTTTTCCCTGTAATTTTCTCCATTTCATGTTTGTTGTCAATAAAAGGAAAGAAATTTTTCTGATGCACCTCAACTAAGGCACACACCCATCTGACACCTTAAATTCCAATAGAAGTATTTCGAATTAACAATTCATCAACAATTTCAAATTAACAGATCAACAATTTCAAAAGTAACAGATCACAGAGGCAGAAAAAGCTTGTATATAGACCATAAAAATAAAACAAATATCTAGTAAGAAAATATTTCACCCAAATAAGCTCAAATTTTCATTCTGTTATCACTAGAAAAAGGAACTTCATTGCATACCTTGAACAGTCGGAGGCAGAGACCCAAGAGTTAGGCTGTCAAACTGAATAGACTCAATGCAAAACTTCCCAGTGTACTGACCAAATATTGGTTCTGCCATTTGTTTTATTGTTCTACATATTGCCTGTAAACAAATAGCATTATATGAGCCCAAGAATACATTATGAATCACATTAATATGAATGAAATAGTATCATGTATTTTCAAGTTCATCTCTAACTACAAAAAGGTGAACCCCAAGGAAGCTCAGATAACATAAATGAGATTAACTATAGAGTAATACGTTTAAGGACGTGTACTGTGACCCAATGGAATATGGTCTATGATACTCCAGACGCCATGCACCTTGGGTCCTGGTGATGGAGAGCAGAGATTAACCCCCCGTGACATTCACTATTATATGCCCCTTGGGATGGATTATGGTACAACTCTGCTATTCCAATACATTATCTTCTTAAGTAATCTAAAACTGCAGTCAGAAGAAAAATATATAGAGGCGCTAGAATTACCTTGTCTAGGTAAGGCCACATATCATGAACAAACTTGTTCAGCCAGTCTACCTGAAATCATCATTTTCAGTCGGTTTAATCTTGCTAAGTACAACATAAACATCTTATAGCATGAATGGTTTTTACTTTGCCAGCTACTGAATATTGCATTGAACTTATGGGAAAGCTTCTTTAAACCAGTAGATTATTCAACTATAGTCCATTGCCATCACTGGACTAGTGGATGGGCATATAGTGGTATCCACCATAATAGGACATGACCCCATTTAGTGGGTCCTCCTCTCTCACTCCATCTCCATAACCATCTGTCATTTCAGTCGATGGAGGTGACCACAATGGACAATGAGTTTCCATAGCAATTGGATTATGTAAGACTTCCTTCAACTTATAAATTATTGGAAGAAAGTATCAGTTGCAATCTCCATATTTGAAAAACTATGTTAAATTATATGAACACAAAGTCATATTGAACAAGGTGCATTATGTTTGAAATTCAAAAGGATATCTTTCAAATTGATATCTTTATTTTGATCCACACATTTTACCAAAACTCATTTCACACCATGTATCAAAGTGTATGAAAAATAAACATGGACGAATGTCAAGAAATACTCACTCTGTCATAGTCTGGGTTCTTCACCCATGAAGGAATCTCTGGCAGAAGGGAATGCAATGCTGTTGAATCCAATTCATTAATTGGCCTTATATTTGGATCCTGTAAGAGTCTAATTAGAAGGTAACTCTAGAAATAAAATAAATGACAAGAAATGCTTAAAATATCTATGAATAAAAGTAATGAGGCAGTTAGACATTTCCAGCTTTCATCTTGTTCAAGGAACACTAGCAGGCTTAGCAAAGCAGGTTGTGAGAGAGAGACATTGAAAAGGATGAAAATTAGTAAAAACTAATCATCAAAAAATTGCCGGGACACACCTTAGTCAGAGGTTCTGGACTCAGCTCAGGTTGGGAGTGTGGCAAGTCCCGAGGTTTTGCCCAAGCACTGAGTTCCACCTGAGTCACTTTTATAGGTAAAATACACATCGGACTGATTCGGAACTCACCCGAATTCGATGGGGTGACTTGGGATTATAGTGAGTCCAAGCCCAAGTCTGTGGTTTTTATCACTGGTAACAACTAAAAAAACAGAAATAATGAATATTGAGCATTACTAAAGGACGAAAAGTTTTTGTAACAGAGGGAGAGATGATGAGAGTACATGGCTGAGGAGGCCTGCTTTTGAGAGTTTGTACGAATGCAAAAAGGAGTTTGTTTTTGGTTGGGGGGGGGGGGGGGGGGGGTAATTCTGATAGAAATTTTGAATAGTTGATCAGAAATATACTACTTCACAGTGCCTTTCTCATGTAGCAACTTTAGACTCACTTGAGACTAACAAAATAAATGCTCGAAACATTTTAAACTAAAGATGATTCAACAATGGAAAATTCGATAAATACTACCACAGAATTCACCCTGACCCAAAAAAAAGGAGTTTAGAGAACTAGGTGATGATAATTCACTCTGATCGCCGAATTTCCAAGCAGACAAAAACCAAACAGAGTGATGCAAATATAAAAAGAAAAATTGATTGATGACACCAAATTAGAAACATATCACATATAACATCCAGATTAACATACTGAGTTAAGAAACATGTAAACTAATCATTTTAATGTAAAATCAAAAATTCAAAATTAAAACAAATGTAACAGTTGACCAGCCAACATCATGCATGCTTGAATCTTCTAATCCTCTTTCTAAAAAGCATCAACAAGATTAACCAAAAATCACTAAATTAGTCGGAAATGATTAACACCAGCATAAAAGAAATAAAATTATGATATACATTAATAACTTGATCATGACACAACAATATAACCGAAACTCAATCGAAAAGTCATCAACCCATTCACTAAAAATTGCAAAATCTCAGGCAAAGCCCAGAAAAAACAAGGGATAATCACAAGCTTAAAGACTAATTTTCCATTAACAAGAAATAAACAACTCTGTTTTAATAAACCCAACTTGATGAGTGAATCTATAAACCAATGATTTAGTCAGAAGAAACGAAATCATAAATATCAGTTTCCATCAACAATGAACAAACAGCTCTATTCGAGTGCGACCAACTTGAACAAACTAATGAATAAATCATTGATTATGTGAAACCAATATATCATTAAGAAAAAAAACAACATTTCTTTGAATGAAATGAAAAAATTCAAAGAATTTCATAGAAAAATACCTTGATTTCTTTGGTCTGGAAGTATATGAACAAGAAATAGCCCAACAGAGCACCAATAGGTATTCCAAATCCAAAACCAATGAGCCCCAAAACACTACTGAGAAAACCCATCTCTATGATTTCATCCAATAACTCAAAACATGGGTGAAAACCAACAACAAATAATAGAAAAATTTAAGAAAATAAATGGAAAAGACCCCAGTTCTATTACTGGGAAATGGCAGAGAACTTCTAAATGGAAATATAAATACTAAAATAAAATAAAACAATAAAAAAATAAAAAAATAAAAATGAGAGCAAAACTAAAGACTTGGTTTTGCCGGCCTTTTTTTTTAATCTTAGAAAAATCTTATTTTCCGTGCTGATGATGAAAACCGTCGAAACTGCAGAAACGATTCATTCTACGAATCCATGCATAATTAAATAACAAATTTGGCCTTGTCTTTTGTGGAAATATCCATTGGACTCGTCGTCATCAAGACTTTTTGGTCAGGGGTAAAAGAGTAAAATGGATATTTTTCACGAAAAAAGGTATTTATCTTGCTGCAAATATCTTAAATACCCTTTTAGTAGCATTAATTTGTTTTTTTTTTTTGGATAATTAGCATTAATTTTGTTGATTTTATCATGATAGCCATGAGAGAAGATAGCTCCTAAATTTTTGTTTTAAAATATGCAAAAAAAGATATTTTGTGGGGCTCCAGATTTATGAGTCCGCAGATCAAATCTCATCGAAAAATGCAGTTTCGGTACAAAAAAAACTTCAAATACATATTTACCTCGATGGTTTTAGACAATGATAGATTTTAGACAATGAATATAGTTTATCTAGTAAAAGACTTTTGAATTATTTTTTGAGCTGCAAAATTTATAGTCTTGCAAAAATAAATTTGTAAATAATCAAAAGGGTTTTATATATTTAAACTAAACTTTTTAGTATATTTATCAAGATTGGACCGGATTGATTGGTCGGGTAGTCAATCAGGCAGTCAACCTGCCAGTTTCGATCGACTAAATAAAATTACATAATTTTTTAATATACTTCATATTTTTAAACTATTATTGTGGAGCCGCATTCAATATAATGTGCCGAATTTAAATATTTGTCTCTCTCAATTCACAATAATGTTTCTTTACTGGAAATAAACGATCCCAATCCCATGTGAAGGGGAGATTTTATCAATAATTTTATACCAACCCAAAATAAAATACTTTCGAAAGAAATAGCTAAAAAATGACTTTGCTAAAGGACCGAGAAAGGAGGAAATAAATGTGCAAGGGTGGCATAGGATGGGCATCACATATAAAGTAGGAGGTATCATTTTTATGTATAAAGTCCGAATAAATTTTTGTCAGATTTTATACGCACCCAAGTTTATAATAGGGGCTACTACATTTCACATCTGATAGTCCAGGGTGATTTTATCGTTCATAAAAAAAGATAAACAATCTCATTGTATACTTCCACATGTATAATTAATTTGAATATATATGAATATAATCCATATAAATGGTTTTAAAAATAATAGTAACATATGATGAGCCATGAGGGCACAAAAAACTATGACATTTTAAAATTGTCTCGAGTCTTGATTGAAATCATTTTTCTAGCATCCCCAAGAAAATTAAAATCAAATTGATCATCTTAACCTCAACAATTATAAATTTGAAACATAAAACGATTTTAAGCGCTAAAAATAGTGAATTTTCACATTCTTTCTTGGAACTTGTTTTAAACTTCGAATTTAAAATATCGACTAGAAATAGATTTTAAGGCAATTATAAGAGCTTCCTGCTGTTTGTTAGTTGTTTCTTATCAGTTGTTCCCAACCCGAGATGTACGTAATTAACTTATTTTATAATGTCAAATACTCTTGTCAAGCAAAAAAAAAAAACAAAGAGCTTCCGGTTGTTTGAGTTCAAGAAATCTAATTCTCATGCTTTTTTCTCTAATTAGGTTTTTTTTTGAAATTTTTGGGACAAAATGTGAGGAGTTTGGTAATGTTCTTTATGAACCTTTGAGTACGCACCAATAAAAAATTTAAGGAATATAAGTTCAAAAAACTAAAATAAATTAAAGCATATGCTTAAAATTTAATGAATATTTATTAAAAGCATGATAGAATAAGTTAATAAATTCGATACAGTAAGTTAATAACTTCGACTTTCGTGGCTTACGAGGATGAATATGATATGAAAGGTTATCTTTAGGGTTTATTTTCAACAGGTACAGCTTGCTTCCGCGTGAGCATACTGTACACTAGCTCCCTCTAGCAAATGCCTCTATTTATGAGGATTTTTCCAGTTTGATCCACTTTAGAATTGCCTGATGAGTATCTAAAGAGAAAAGGTCAAAATAAATTGTGAGTTTCTAAACGCACCGTCAAAAAATTGAATGATCTTTTTAATCTTAAAACATTTTTTTTATTCACATACATTTTTTTTTTTTCTATTTTACATTAGGCAATAGATTGAGGAGGTTACATCCTGAAATAGAGTCTTAAGCAATTCCTATACAGTTTGATGAGAGTTCAACAAAAAAATAGGTACTGTCAGAGCTTTAACTTATGGAGTAAATGTATTATATGCTCCCGCAGGAATGTATGATCCTTTGCTTTTTTTCTTTTGTATTTTTGTATCTTTCATACCTACCCCACGTGAAGACCTCCACCAGTAAGGAACATCCCCATAAGTTTTGGACCAGAATTAACCCAGTTTTATAACCTTCTAGAGTAAGCTAGGCAATTTTCAACAAAAAAACAAGGGGAGATAACCTCAGTCTACATGACCAATTAAAATTGGAAAGGAGTTTATATAAGGTTGCGACCTTATATTATTGAAGTAAAGTGCACCTCAAAAATCCTAGGCGAGAGTTTACTGATGTTGAAGAACCCTCCAATTGATCATCTTGACATTTAGATGTATGGAAATGAAAAAAAAAAAAAGAATTCTACGTTCAAAAAAGTGTACATCTTGTAACAGGTATATGAACTGTTTATTTTCAAGATTTTCAAATATTTATTGATCTGCTCAATTTTTGCCATGTTTAAAATTTTAAATTCTATAACTATGGATGAAAATAGATTTTCAAACCATCATAAAGTCTCTGATACCATAACGACGTCTTTAAATAAATTTTAGAGGTTCGCCTTACTTCTATTGTATAAGGAGGCAACCTTATACAAACCTCACCCATTAAAATTAGGTAAATAGTTTATCTCAATTAGGTCATTAGTCAAGGGAGATATATTAAGGTGAGTTAGTAATTTTATTAGTCTAAATCTCTAAGAGAGATAAACTAAGACAAACTCTAGAAATTTTAACCAATTTATCTAAAAGCATTTTGTTAGCTATATTACCAAGGGAGATTAAATTAGAGTGTGAAATTTGAATTCCTCTCCATGATTCTATTTTTTTTCAAACTTTATATTCCATTCTCTAACTCTATCTGAGGACACTCAATAACTCCATCTCTTGGATTGTTTCTGGAAGGCACGGGAAAGGTAGGACTCAGGTTATTATTATCATCTCCAACTATTTGGTTGGCTACATGAATTTTATTTTGTCATTTTACTCTATCAAAGGCCATACATTTAGTGCTAGCCATACTCTCAATGTTCATTACTGTAAAGTGTGTCGCTTACAGAAAATGCTCATGAACATATAACATCGATTCATGATTCATTAAAAGATGCACCAAAGTTATAAGTTGATCGCCCACCTAACACAATCCCTCCTCCTTTCTCTAGGCTTGGGATCGGTTGTGGCTAGATTAAGACTCTCATTTCATATATTTTACTAATTATCAAAAGTACAATGTTAAAATTGCATTTTTTTCACAGCAAAATTATATGTTATTTTATTTATTAAAGTATTTGTTATAAATAATTGTTATATGGATGGGGTTTCTATGAGTCAACTAACTCATACGTACACGTGCCGCCCCGCACAAAAATTTACCTTAAAAATAAATTTTTTATCCAAAATTTTAGGGATTCATCATCTAAGCCAAGTTGATCATATGCAAACGAAAATAAAAAAATTGAACTTTAAAATGTGCTATTTTGGGATGCTTTTGGCACCCTCCATATTTGAGTTGACCTGTGCATTTTACGCGACGTCCATCTTAAAGATGGACGTTGAAGAGTCATCGGGCTCCTGCACCTACTTAATCATGAAATAATTTTCCAACTTTGTTATAAGAATGGCTAAAAAATCCAATTATTTTGATATAAATTAGTCAAAAAAATAATCAGCAAAATAGTGATAAAAAAATGGATAAATATGTATTTTACGCCTCACATAATATGTCTTGGCTTAAATTATAGGAAAATTAGAAGGAGAAAGTAGAGATGGCATGGAATTAAAAAATAACGCCACCATATATTATCCGACGGTACATTAATAAGCTTTAATTATAACATTTGAATTGAAATTTTTTAAAAAATTGGACAACTTTTAACAATAGTTGAATTTTGAGAGATCCATCTTTTAATATTGTAGAATAAACCGGTTAAAAATAAAACTGAAACAAAAATACCTTAAAAAATCCAAAATTTTCATTGTATCAATTTGATACACAAATTAGCATTGGGTATTGCTAAGCCCCATGATGAGGTCTTTAACTTCATTCTCACCAAAGAGGTAGGGGCCAAATCCTATTGATTTTTCATTTTTTGAAAATGGCATGGGGCCTTGACGGTAGTATTGTTGAGCCTCATGGTGAGGTCTCTGACTCCATTCTCACCAGAGGATAAGGGTCCAAATCCCCACTGACATATTGCTTTTATATTTCTATTTATTTAATTACCCAAGAAAAAATACCAAAGGTTAGGGGTCAAGGGTCAATTACCATTTAAGATATATATATAACATAGGATTGTCTACAAAGAGACCATTGATCTTTTGTACAAGGAGGTCACAATGTTTCGTGTTCCTTAATTTTCAAAATAGGTGATTGTAAAAGTGTCATTGAATACACACAAAATTCCAAAAAAATTTTGCGGACTTCGTGATTCACTCCAAGCCATTCAATTTGATATTTAATGAGTGAGAATTATTGTAACCTCCATGCACAAAAAGATAAAGGAAAATTGTTTCATGTGGCGAGGACCGTATTTTTACATTTGTGGTCCTCGAAGTATAAAGCATCAATATTAAAGATGGATGTAAATACGTGGTCTATCTAAACACAATTGAAACGAATGGTCCAAATGTTTTCTTAATAGAATTATAATTTATAATTTTTAAAATTTATTTATTTATTCATATTCATAATCTCCATATTAAAGATTACATGTTCTTAAAAATTAAGTAAAAAAATCCATCTCAAAAATAGATTTTTAAGAGGTGGCTCATTTCTACATAGACTCATAAAA